CTGGGGCTAGAGGGCCAGCGCAGCGTCCTCGGGTAGCGATGAGTGGCAGTTCTCAAGCGAGGGACCCGGGACTGAGTTGGAACTCTGATGGAGCTGGAAAACTCAAATAAGGCAAGCTAGTGAGAGATTAAAAGGCAAGGCCGGGTGTATCCGGAACCAGACTTGGGGTCCCGGTAGAACCCGCCTTGCTACAGAGCACATAAAATGTATAGGAGTGCATTAACAGGAGTCTTGTGAGGAAGACACGAGAAGTCATTCTTCTACTCTACTCTTCGCTGATTAGGCCTCCATTGGAGTATTATATCCAGCGCTGGGCACCACATTTAAAGAAAGCTGTGGAGAAATTGGAGGAGGTCCAGAGAAGAACAACAGAAATGATTGAAAGTCTAGAAAATATGACCTATGAGGGAAGACTGAAAGAATTGGGCATGTTTAGTTTAGAAAAGAGAAGACTGAGAGGGGACATGATTGCAGTTTTCAAGTACCTAAAAGGGTGTTCCAAAAAGGAGGGAGAAAAATTGTGCTCCTTGGCCTCTAAAGATAGGACAAGAAGCAATGGGCTTAAACTGAAGCAAAGGAAGTTTAGGTTGGACATTAGGAAAAACTTTCTAACTGTCAGGGTGGTTAAACATTGGAATAAATTGCCTAGGGAGGTTATAGAAACTCCATCATCTTTATGCATGGCTGCTAGCTGGTTAACTCTCATTGAGAAAGTGTCTAGAAGCCATTCAGCAGTTCATCATGAACTGCCACAGACCTATAATGAGAGAAACACATAAATAAAAGTGGTACCGGTTTACAGTTTGGTGCTGGGAGCATAACTGCTCTTCAGCAGTTATGGGGGTATCACATATTCTCCACTACCTCCTAGGCCTACACCAGAGTGGTCTATCCTTAAGCTCTATCAAGGTTCACCTTGCAACCATCGTAGCTCTACATTCCCTACTACAGGGTTATTTTGCTTTTACTCACCCACCTAGAAAATGATTCTTGTGAGGTTTACACAGAGGCTATGTGTACACTGCAGGCTTCTTGCGCAAGAACAGTTTTGCGCAAGAATTCTTGTGCAAAAGGTCTTGCGCAAGAGTGTGTCCACACTGCCATGTGCTTTTGCGCAAGAGATGTGCTTTTGCACAAGAGCGTCCCTGGCAGCGTGGACGCTCTCTTGCGCAAGAAAGCTCTGATGGCCATTTTAGCCATAGGGGTTCCTGTTGCCCGTCCACACTGCCCTATTGTGAAATAGCTGTTGCGCAAGAGGGCTTATTCCTTGAGAGGCAAGGAATAACTCTTTTGCAAGAAGCCCTCTCTTCTGATGCTTTACTGTAAATTTACTAGTGCAAGAATACGCATGCAGTGTAGACGCTCCTCAAGTTTTTGCACAAGAACAGACATTCTTGTGCAAGAAGCCTGCAGTGTAGATGTAGCCAATATATTTCTCCCACTAAGGGACCCAGTATCTGCATGGGACCTAAATCTCATGCTCAGGTCTATTACGGGCAGGCCCTTTGAGCTTCTGCCTACCTGCTTCCTATTACATCTATCGATGAAGGTCATCTTCCTTGCTGCAATTACTTCCGCAGAAAGAGTAGGCAAGC